ATCATGACAGAAATGTTAAAAGCAAGGGAGGAGGGGACATAGTGTTGGAATGCTTGGTATTTTTGTTCAATAAATGTATGAAAGAGGGGAAGGTACCTAGGGATTGGCAGTGTGTGTGTATAGTCCCTTTATATAAAGGGAAGGAGGACAAAAGGGATTGTAAAAATTATAGAGGAATAAGTTTACTGAGTATACCAAGAAAAGTGTATGGTAGGGTTATTACTGAAAGAATTAGAGGTAAGACAGAATGTAGAATTGCGGATGAGCAAGGAGGTTTTAGAGTGGGTAGGGGATGTGTAGATCAAGTGTTTACATTGAAGCATATATGTGAGCAGTATTTAGATAAAGGTAAGGAAGTTTTTACTGCATTTATGGATTTAGAAAAGGCATATGATAGGGTGGATAGGGAAGCAATGTGGCAGATGTTGCAAGTACATATATGGAATAGATGTTAAGTTACTAAATGCTGTAAAGAGTTTTTATGAGGATAGTGAGGCTCAGGTTAGGGTGTGTAGAAGAGAGGGAGACTATTTCACAGTAAAGTAAGGTCTTTGACAAGGATGTGTAATGTCACCATGGTTGTTTAATATATTTATAGATGGGGTTGTAAAAGAAGTAAATGCTAGGGTGTTCAGGAGAGGGGTGGAATTAAATTATAGGGAATTAAATACAAAATGGGAAGTGACACAGTTACTTTTTGCTGATGATATTGTGCTTATGGGAGATTCTAAAGAAAAATTGCAAAGGTTAGTGGACGAATTTTGGAGTGTGTGTAAAGGTAGAAAGTTGAAAGTGAACATAGAAAAGAGTAAGGTGATGAGAGTATCAAATGATTTAGATAAAGAAAAATTGGATATCAAATTGGGGAGGAGGAGTATGGAAGAAGTGAATGTTTTCAGATATTTGGGAGTTGACCTGTCAGCAGATGGATTTTTGAAGGATGAGGTTAATCATAGAATTGATGAAGGAAAAAAGGCGAGTGGTGCACTGAGGTATATGTGGAGGCAAAAAATGTTATCTATGGAGGCAAAGAAGGGAATGTATGAAAGTATAGTAGTACCAACACTCTTATATGGGTGTGAAGCTTGGGTTGTAAATGCTGCAGCGAGGAGGCGGATGGAGGCAGTGGAGAAGTCCTGTCTAAGGGCAATATGTGGTGTAAATATTATGCAGAAAATTGGGAGTGTGGAAATTAGGAAAAGGGTTTGGGGAGTTAATAAAAGTGTTAGCCCGAGTGCTGAAGAGGTTTGTTGAGGTGGTTTGGTCATTAAGAGAGAATGGATCAAAGTAGAATGACATGGAGAGTGTATAAATCTGTGGGGGAAGGAAGGCGGGGTAGGGGTCGTCCTCGAAAAGGTTGGAGGGAGGGGGTAAAGGAGGTGTTGTGGGCGAGGGGTTTGGACTTCCAGCAAGCGTGCGTGAGCATGTTAGATAGGAGTGAATGGAGACAAAGGTATTTGGGACCTGATGAGCTGTTGGAGTGTGAGCAGGGTAATATTTAGTGAAGGGATTCAGGGAAATCGGTTATTTTATATAACCGGACTTGAGTACTGGAAATGAGAAGTACAATGCCTGCACTCTAAAGGAGGAGTTTGAGATATTGACAGTCTGGAGGGACATATTGTGTATTTTTATACGTATATACTTCTAAACTGTTGTATTCTGGGCACCTCTGCAAAAACAGTGATTATGTGTGAGTGAGGTGAAAGTGTTGAGTAATGATGAAAGTATTTTCTTTTTGGGGATTTTCTTTCTTTTTGGGTCACCCTGCCTTGGTGGGAGATGGCCGACTTGTTGAAAAAAAAAAAAAATCAGCCGTTTCCCACCAAGGTAAGGTGGCCCAAAAAAAGAAAAACTTTCACCATCATTCATTCCATCACTGTCTTGCCAAAGGTGCACTTACACTACAGTTATAAAACTCCAACATAACACCCCTCCTTCAGAGTCCTGGATGTGGGGATGAAATTTAAGATTACACCAAAGGTGAAGACATAGAAATTTACCCTCAGTGTGTCTTGTAATGGGAGAACCATTTATCTATATATTAAGCTGGATATATAATGCTTATCTCCATGGGGAAGTAGAACAGAATTCTTCCTCCGTAAACCATGCGTGACGTAAGAGGCGACTAAAATGCCAGGAGCATGGGGCTAGTAACCCCTTCTCCTGTATATGTTACTAAATGAAAAAGGAAAAACTTTCGTTTTTTCTTTCAGGCCACCCCGCCTCAATGGGACACGGCCAGTGCGTTGAAAGAAAGATTTAAGACTATGTTTCCAAATAGAAGAATATGACTCACGAAATCGTAATTACACGATTGCAAACAAACCATACCCCGGCCGGGATTGAACCAGCGGTCTGTAAAAACTTGCATTTGTGGTCACAGTGGTGCCTGTGCTAACCTTCCTATGGTGTAGAAATATACCTAGTTGGACGAATCTTATTGTGGCTAGCTGGTCTAGTGGCTAACGCGACGGGCTGGAGTTTTGAGACTCTCTGCCCGCGGGTTCAATCCCGGCCGGGGTATGGTTTAGAAGAAGTATGTTTTGTCTATGTTAAGAGTATGTTGGTCATCATCCAAGTTTTTTTTTTTTTTTTTTTCAACAAGTCGGTCGTCTCCCACCGAGGCAGGGTGACCCAAAAAAGAAAGAAAATCCCCAAAAAGAAAATACTTTCATCATCATTCAACACTTTCACCACACTCACACATTATCACTGCTTTTGCAGAGGTGCTCAGAATACAACAGTTTAGAAGCATATACGTATAAAGATACACAACATATCCCTCCAAACTGCCAATATCCCAAACCCCTCCTTTAAAGTGCAGGCATTGTACTTCCCATTTCCAGACTCAAGTCCGACATATGAAAATAACCGGTTTTTCCCCGAATCCCTTCACTAAATATTACCCTGCTCACACTCCAACAGATCGTCAGGTCCCAATATCATTCGTCTCCATTCACTCCTATCTAACAAAGCTCATGCACGCTTGCTGGAAGTCCAAGCCCCTCGCCCACAAAACCTCCTTTACCCCCTCTTTCCAACCCCTTTTGAGGACGACCCCTACCCCTCTTTCCTTCCCCTATAGATTTATATGCTTTCCATGTCATTCTACTTTGATCCATTCTCTCTATATGACCAAACCACCTCAACAACCCCTCTTCTGCCCTCTGACTAATGCTTTTATTACCTCCACACCTTCTCCTAATTTCCACACTCCGAATTTTCTGCATAATATTTACACCACATATTGCCCTTAGACAGGACATCTCCACTGCCTCCAACCGTCTCCTCGCTGCTGCAAGTATATATTTTAAAAGCTCGTTGTTTACAGTATCTCTAAGTATAGCTGGGTTTGAGTGGGAGTAGACATTAGTAGTGTCATCTGCGAAAAGAACTGGTTTAAGGAGTTGTGATGCATTGGGGAGATCATTGATGTAAATGAGAAAGAGGAGTGGGCCCAGGACACTACCCTGGGGCACTCCAACAGCTACAGGCTGGATAGTAGAGTTGACTCCATTTGCATATACATACTGGTGTCTACTGTTAAGGTATTAGGTAATCCAGGGAATGTCCTCTGATGCTGTAATGATTTAGTTTTAGGTGCAGGAGACTGTGGTCCACTCTATCAAATGTTTTCCATAGGTCAATAAAGAGCCCCAGAGGATATTCATTTTTATCGAGGGCTGTATATATTAGTTCAAGCATTTGTATAATAGCATCATTCGTAATTTTTTTTTTTTTTTGGTTCTAATCCCAAACTGGCAGGGGATTAGTATGCAACTGGATATAAGGTAGGAGTAAACTCGTTCATGTATTATTTTTTCGACCCTCAAAAATACACTTATAAAAGCAGTTACAAAAATACACTTACATAATTGGTTGAGTTGGGAGCAGTTCGATATTTGAGGTTCCACTGTACTACCGTCCTGCCAAGTAAGTGTAAAACGGAAGCCTGTAATTGTTTTACATAATGGTAGGATTGCTGGTGTCTTTTTTCTGTCTCTTAAATATGCAAGATTTCAGGTACGTCTTGCTACTTCTACTTACACTTAGGTCACACTACACATACATGTACAAGCATATATATACACACCCCTCTGGGTTTTCTTCTATTTTCTTTCTAGTTCTTGTTCTTGTTTATTTCCTCTTATCTCCATGGGGAAGTGGAACAGAATTCTTCCTCCATAAGCCATGCGTGTTGTAAGAAGCGACTAAAATGCCGGGAGCAAGGGCCTAGTAACCCCTTCTCCTGTATAAATTACTAAATTTAAAAAAAAGAAACTTTCGTTTTTCTTTTTGGGCCACCCTGCCTTGGTAGGATACAGCCTGTTTGTTGAAAAAAAACAAATTTGCAAGGTTTCAGGTATGTCTTGCTACTTCTACTTACACTTAGGTCACACTACACATATACACACTACCCACTGTGTATATACATGCATGTACAAGCATATACATACACACCCCTCTGGGTTTTCTTCTATTTTTCGTATTAGTTCTTGTCCTTGTTTATTTCCTCTTATCTCCATGGGGAAGTGGAACAAAATTATTCCTCCGTAAGCCATGCGTGTCATAAGAGGAGACTAAAATGCCAGAAGCAAGAGGCTAGTAACCCCCTTCCCCTGTATATATTACTAAAGTTAAAAAGAGAAACTTTCGTTTTTCTTTTTGGGCCACCCTGCTTCGGTGGGATATGGCCGGTTTCTTGAAAGAAGAGCAAGAGCAAAGGAAGATGAAAATAAGTATCTACAGAAGGCACATAGAGAAATAAGCTGTTACAATTATCAAAAGCAAACACTAGAGAGAGACCAAGTATGCATGGACATAGATGGTGTAAACAGCAAGCTTACCGAGCAAAAAAGTGGTCTATTGTTGGTCTTACTGAGATTATAAGAGCAGGTTGATATTCCTATTAATAATTACCAGATAGCTGCACAACACATTCCAGACTCTTTAAATATTATTAGATTAAAAATACAGTACAATCAAAAGATACTTACTGATGCTCTGTCTAAGACTTTGAGCGAGGAGGGTTCAGCTATCTTGTTGTCGAGTAGGGCTTTCTCTAACGTCCGTAGAGGTAAGGCATCCCACTTCCCTATGACTACCAGATCAATGTCACTGAAAGTAATACAGATAACTATAACAATAATTAAAAAATCACATGATGACAATTATCTATTATGATAAGGATTATTATTTTATTATCACACTGGCCGATTCCCACCAAGGCAGGGTGGCCCGAAAAAGAAAAACTTTCACCATCATTCACTCCATCACTGTCTTGCCAGAAGGGTGCTTTACACTACAGTTTTTAAACTGCAACATTAACACCCCTCCTTCAGAGTGCAGGCACTGTACTTCCCATCTCCAGGACTCAAGTCCGGCCTGCCGGTTTCATTTACTAAAAAAGAGATGATAAGGATGATGGTAAAAAATGTGATTATTCAAACAATATTTAAATCATGGGTGTGATTAACAAGTTTGCTGGTCTATCACCAATGGAAGCACCAGTACAGATATTCATTTACAGATTTAGTCATTAATTATGACTTCAATCAAGTTCATGTGCATGGGGGGAGGAAGAGGGAAAGGGGAGGAAAGAGAATGAGAGAGGAGAGACAGAGAGAGAATGGGAGAGAGAGAGAGAACCACATTTCACATCTCCGGCTAGTGCCTTTCCATCTGTTGCGATTTATTTTTTTTTATCTATATCCTCCTTTCATGTGGCTTAACCCATTTCCATCTTGCATTCCAGAATAACCAGCCTTCACTCTAACACAGGTGGGCTTGTTTCCCTCCCATCCACCTTGGGCCTCTTTATTTGATACTGTGCACTAATGCAACAGGTGACTAAGTGAAGACCCATGCTTATCGCTCAAAGAATCCCCTTGCCTTAAAAGAGAAAAAATAAAACCACTCTGTGTGGTATTTGTTGGCCAAACCAGTCAGCATGGATCAGAGGAATTATTTGTTGACTGGTTCAAGCATCATTTCATTCCGTAAGTTAAGATTTACCTGCACTGCAAGAACCTCACATTGAAGCTTCTCCTGACTCTTGATGCATGTCTAATACCTCATTCTGTACTTGTGTTTCCTGATGTACTTCCCCAAAAACTAAAATCCTTCCCCCGTGGAATTTGTTTCATCCCAAAAAGGGGAGGGTTAAGGATGCCAGCGTAGTTTCTTTTTATTTTTTCTTATAATATATTCTTAAATTTTGCTGGGTAGAATGTTTTGGGCCCCAGAATACCTATAATGCTGGCTGTTATATCAGATGCAAGGACAGAGGAAGTTCACCTAAATTCCTTTAAATCATAACATAAGTATTAAAGTCTTCCAACACCCTTTTTAAAATTGTAGGAAAAAATGAAAATCATCCCCTGTTTTCAATACAGAACATCTTAGCACACAAGAAGGGAGAAATTTGACCCACATATCAAAAACTTTCCCATAGGGCCTAAGGCACTGAATCAGCCTCTGTAAAGGTGTGATTTAGGGGGGTAGACTGAGGTGCATAAAAGGGAAGCAAAAAAAAATATCAGGGTATAAATATGGATAAAAAAATCCAACCCAAAAGGACATCAGCAATGGGTTTAAGTTCGAAAATTTTTGATTTGAAAAGGTATTGGAAAGCCTTTTTTGGGAATAGGTTGTGAAAGAGTGGAACAAAATCTGAGTAGCCCACTGAAGCAAAAACTTTTGGGGACATTAAAAATGGGTTAGACAATAAGTAATGCATCGTGGGGGTAGTTTGACCTGCCTAATAGCCGAAGGCCCGCTAAAGTGTTCTTTCCCTTTTTTTTTTTTTTTTTTTCTCAACAAACGGCCGTCTCCCAAAGGGAGGGTGACCCAAAAAGAAAAAAATCCCCAAAAAGAAAAATACTTTTATCACATTCAACACTTTCACCTCCTCACATATATCGGCGATTTCGCCCACTTTGAGCCCTATTTTCGGCTAATTCCATTGTTTCCAGTCATTCCAAACTCATAGCTTATTTCTTTACGAACTCCTATTTTTTTCTACTCGTTTGAGTACAAGAAACTGCCCATTTACCGATTTCATCTACTTAATAATGTGGTAAGAAATTTGCAATTTGGCCAATTCACGAAAACTAAAAAATATGACAATTTCAAAATAAGGTCAAGAATGAACAATGCAGGACATTCCTGGCTCGAAAAATAACTTTTTCTTTGCTCATCAGTCAATGTCTCCAGGCCCATCTGATATTACTCTTGCTTTCCATTTTGAATTATTATTCAAACAAAAAAATAGAAAGACTTACTATTATGCAGACTACTGCAATTACTGTTTTATAAAAAAATTATTGTATAAATAACATCAACCCATTCATGATGCATATTAGAATGGCTAGTTGGACATTATGGGAAGCAAATGACATTTCATTGTTTTACTTTTCGAACTTGGCAAAAATCAAATCATTTCCCTACTTTGTTGAGATGAGCTCCATTTCTAGGTTTCTTTTTATGGCAATAAATCAATCAAAAAGTACCTCTATTTCTATATATGTTTTCCTTTCTATCAAATGAGACCAAGTAAACGAGAATACACCATAAATCTATAACGAAAATAGACCACAAATGTCAGCATTTTAATAAAAAAAAAATGGTCGGAGTTATTTTTTTTTCTCATTATGCACTGCGTGATCCAGGACTTTTTTTTATATGGTGAACATTGACCCACAGACCCATTTCTCTCAACATGTGGCCTACAGCTTTCTCCTGCTTGATTTGAAGCGCTATTATAATTATGAGTATGTATACGTCAAAACCACGGTACCTCATAAGACGTATATATACGGCTTTCGACAGTCAGAGTTAATTGCAAAATCTGGGTCACCCCTCGGCGGATTGAAGCATTTAGCACACGGAACTAAGCCAGGAAACTTGAAAAGACGGATGCATGGTTTTTAGCTGGAGCGGACCGGGTTGGACGCTGGCAGACGTGGACCTCTGGACCTGCGGCACCCCACAAACAATACTTCTAACGTCTTGAAATACCCGTAAATTCCCGCCCACACTGCTGTCACCAATTTGTCACGTGGGGTTCGAAACATGGATGGGGTAAGAACACTCACGTAGGCTGGTTAGTATACATATAATTATAACGGAAAGTATGGGAAGCACCAGGCCGCCCTGCCTCTCTGCTCTCTATCTCAGACTGCCCCACCAGTGATGCCTTAGGGGGGTGAGCGGCGTTCAAAAACATATGCTTTGGTCAGCAGCAACGTGAATAACAGTGAGTGATTCACGCAGACGGTTGGTAGTAAGTCATACTACTGGTAACTGGTACTACTGAGATGTCTGCATGCAACATCAAGGTTAATGCTAATTGTCCTAATCCAATCCAGTGAATACCAATTACAGCGAACAATGGGAAAGGAGTTGCACTTGATTTGGTTAACAATTTCCAAATGTTCCCTCAGGGCAACAAACATCTGTGTGTTATGGTAGTCCAGGTTCACCAGTTACAAGATATTGTGAGTTATTCCCTAGTGCAGATAGACTGCCGAGACAGAAGCTAAGCGTTTAAAGAACGTATATTATTCTTCAGGCATACCACCCCCTAAGTCCCTAAGTAACAGTTAATGGAGGTGAATTCTGTAATGAGTTCTTGAATAATTTGGTGTACTGATGTACAGACTCTTAATCCACCATTGTTTTCTCAACATCTCAGCAATGTAATTAGTGCGAACGATCCAATATGGATAAGTTACTTGTTGTCTTGAGAGTATCAATACCCAACAGTGAAAACTTGGGATGAAGTTATACCTGATGTGCCGTGTGCTATATAAATTCTGCTTGCAATGTTTCTATAGGTGACACTCCACATTATGCATTGTACGGTGTAGATAAACGTTTGCCTTATTGAGTTACTATATTCTATCCGAAACCAATTTAAACCCTGGATTATTTTCAAAAGCAACTCCTACCAGCTTAGCTCCAAAGCGTCTTTAGAAGAATCGTTGGTGGTTTGATCTGACAAACACTTATAAATCAACAGAGAATTTACAAGAGTCGCAAACACTAAGCAAAGCCATCCAAAATCAAAGTAGGTTGAGAGTTATGCTGACTAACTTTGAAAAACGTCCTGCAATGCCCAAAGCTGGATCAAAAGGTTGTTTGGTCCCTTATCGAGTAGTTGAACCCATATCCACTGGTAATAAGTATGAGGTTAGAGAAATTAGTACGGTCCGTATAAGAATCGCATTTAGATTTATTATGAAGTTAGTGTGTGATGATAATGATGTTCCAACCAGACTAAATGTGACAGACTCTGACCATCCTTCCTGATCTGTACTCTCTACCTCTAACCACTCAGTCAGACGATAAGGCCTGAATGTCGTTATTCCCTATGTAAATGACAGGTATTGAGAAATCCTCAAGTATCATTGTAACTACCCAATTCAGATATTGCCTCAAATACAGCATGGGTTAGACCAGTGCAATAGAGTTTGAGCATATATGTGAATAGTATTTAGATAAGGTAGGGAAGTTTCCATTGCACTTAATGGATCTAGAAAAGGCAATTTGACAGAGTGGACAGGGGAAGGGGAAAGCAATGTGGCAGATGTTGCAAATATATGAAATAGAATAATAAGTATTAAATTGCTGTAAAGAGTTTTTATGAGGATAGTGTAAGCTAGGTTGGATGTGTAGAAGAGAGGGAGTTTCTTCCGGTAATAGTAGGTCTTAGACAGGATGTGTAATGTCACCCATTGGTTGTTTTAATTATTTATAGATAGGGTAGTAAGAGAAGTAATGCTTAAAAGTGTTAGGGAGAGGGGTGGTGGATTAATTTATGGGGGAATCTAATACAAAAATGGGAGTTGACACAGTTACTTTTTGCTGTGGGGATGCTGTTCTAAAATGGGGAGATTACTAATGAAAAGTTGCCAATGGTTAGTGGGACGATGTTTGGACGGGTGGTGAGTATGGGTTAGAAAGTTGAAAGTGAACATAGATAGGAGTAAGGTGAATGAGGATATCAAATTGATTTATATTAAAGAAAATGTTTAGTTCACTTGGTTGGAGGAAAGTATGGAAATAGTGATGTTTTCCGATATTTGGGAGTTGATTGTCATGCAATGGGTTTATGA